AACATCATTAATAAATAGATAAAAACAAATTGGAAATATTTAAAAAAATTTAAAAAGAAGAAAGAGAAAGAAAAAAATGCAAAGCTAAGCCCCCCCCTACAAATAACCCCAAACAAACAAACAAACAAACAAACAAATGAACATAAACAAAGAAACCAAACAACGACACACAAACAAACACGCCATCAAAGCCTCACCCCCGGCCTGACACTCCGTGGCAGCGAACGTGTGGCGGTGCTCCTTCTTGGTGCCGTCAAAGAACGGATGGTTGTCGTTACAGTCCAGGAACGTCACGGTGACGGTGGCGGTATCGGAGAGCTTACCCTTGTCCTCAACCTGCCATGAACACAACCAAAACGTGTCCTTTTCAGTAAATGTGTCACGACACTATGGATCGAATCAGGCTCTCGTCAATGTTTAGGAATGTGGGGTACTTGGTATCATCTTAAATCTAACTCAGTTGTCTTGCTTTCGGTGAAAAAATACCCATCTATCCAGATATTTGAGATTGAAGAAGGTTGGGTCGCCTGGATTCAAATGTAAAATAAGCCAGAAAGTGGCCACCAAAGTTTGGTTCTTTTCACAGCTAGATAGCCCGTGGAAACTGAAAATTTACATTATTTGTTCCTTTAATCAATGTTTCCAAACAAAACCCACCCAGAAATGTGTTCTTAATTGGGCAACAATGGTGTTAAGCCAAAAAACAAAAATCCAACTGAAAATATCCAAACTGACAGAAAATGCCATTTTCTTCAATTTCATTATTTTGACGAGCGCCTGATTTCACCACGCTGAAGCAAAAATGAATGTTCACACATCCCACTCCCCTCCTCCCCCTCTCCCCCTTCCCCCGATATGATGCAATTCTTCAACGATATGATGTGTAGTTTTTCACCATTATGATGTATCAGGAACATTTTTTACAGATGTGTTGCATTCTTTACTGACATAAATAATGTATGTCTAATTCTTTATCGGTGAAACGTATGTAGCCTAACCTTTACTAATATAATGTTGGCCTATCATTTATCAATATACAAATTCATTCGTTACAAAATTGATTAATGCATGCTTTATCGATATGATAATGGCCTAATCTTTATCGATTTATGTTTTATGTATAATTTATCATTATAACGATGCTGCCCTATTCTTTATTGATGTGATGTATTATGTATACTTTATCAATATACTGTATGCTTTACCAATATAATGTAGGTCTATTCTTTACCAACATGAAGTATTGTGTATACTCTACCGGTCTGATGTGTTGTGTAAACGTAACTGATATGGTGCAAGCCTATTCTTTATCGATAAGATGTATACTTTACAAAAAGAACATAATATACTTTAATGATATGACACACAATATTCTATCGATATGATGTATACTTTAACGATGTGATGTATAGTTCACCGATAAAATGTACGCTTTACAGATATTATGAAATACACTTAAGAGATATGAGGTATAGTTTACCAATAAATATAATGTATACTTTAACCGATGTGATGTATAGTTTACCAATATTCTGATGAATACTTTACCGATATGATGTATATATTAAGTTATCAATATGATGTACACTGTACTGATATAATATACTCTTTACCGATATAATATACTCGTTAGAAACCGGGTGAGTGGGAACGTCGATGTCGTAGTCTAGGTTTGTGAGCAGAAGACCGTTGTCCGGGTCCACGCCGTGTCGACCGAAGAAGTTCGGGGAGTTGTACTTCCAGGTGTGGGTGTCCAGTGTGTCTTCGTCTTGGATCACTAGACCTGACGGGAACTCGCTCTGGTGGGTGGGGGGGGGAGGAGGAGTGGAGAAGGGGGAGGATTGAGGGGAGGAGGGAGGAGGGGAGGAGTGAG